TTTGCTTGATATAATACAGGACTGCAGATTATTTCATTATGCTTTCTCGACTTCAGATTATGTTTAAAAACACATCTCAGTGTTCTTCTGAGAACCTCTGAAATCTAAGTGCAAGAGATTTCAGCAACTTATTTACAGGTACTGTTGCATGAATCTCAAGGTACTTTTATTCCACCTGTTTAGGCACTATACACAGTGTCATGAATCTTTGCAAAGGACATATTTGTGAGCGTGGATGACTTCAGCTCCATCAAGCTCTGTCTAGTTCCCCTTTAAATTATGAACTAGCTCCCTGAAGATGAAGTAGCAAGGGTTTGCATTTTACAGCTTGTTTGTCTGAGGTGAGCACATTAACTATTTGTAAAACACAGACATGGCTGAGTAGTCAAACAAAACGACGAGTAAACTGATGATTAGGAACTAGAGTTGGGAAAGGGACAGCACTTGTTCAAATAACAGGCTGCCTTGCTCTTTAGGGCAAGGTGTTCCCTCTGTCACAGCTGAAAGGAAGCATAGTTTCTCTCTCCCTTCTCCCTTTGCAGCACCATCTTCTCAGTGCTGCTTAACAGTTAAATGCTGAACAAAGAAATACCAGCCTGTGTAGAAAGAGTGGGATATACATCCACTTTTTTGAAACAACCAGAAACACACCCATGTAAATAAAGAGAACTAGAAAAGTACTAAACAAATAAAGAATAGGACAGTCTACAATTGCTAGAAAGCTTGCAAATCCAGCCCCAGTTTGAAGTTTTAATGCTTAGTGAGCAAGTTGCTTAGCTGTAACTATGCTAGCTACCCACGTACAAAACTTTAATGTTGGCCAAAGACCCAGATGCAGATGACCGGCAGTTTTACTTTCTTTTCCCAAGTAACCTAGTATACTGCTAATGGTAAAAAGTATACATTTTTCCCAATCATTCCTGCAAGTGACAAGAGATGTAGCTGCTCCTAGTACATGATAATGAAATATGGGCCTAAAATCACACCTAGTAGAGCACAAATAAATGACTTGATCTTCTCTGCAGCCTTGATGGAGGCTCCTTACCTCCTCAAACCATCCTCTGGCACCACAGTCTGTTTTGTTTAGTATTATAAAGCTCCAAATTTGGCATAAGCATGAACATAGGCAAAAAGAGGTACTGATTCTTTGTCTTGTTGACACTTCCAGCTTCTGCAAATTACTCTGAGGTTTTCTGTACATTACAACTATCTGTACTTTGCTTTTATGATCTCTCCCCTATGCAAGTATAGCCTTAAGTCACAGGGTAAAAGCAGTTGTTTAAGTGTTTTTTAATACTCTATTGAGCTCTCCAAAGAAAGCAAGATTATACTATAAGTAAATTTCATTACATGGGGCTTCAGCAGTGAGATTACAAACATTTGAGGAAGGCTACTAACCTTTACAGTTGATATCAAAGCTTATTTCTCCTTTGTCCATGGTATCCAACAGCTGTTTAACTTCTTCAGCATTTCCATTTCTAGCATCATGGAGAAGCTGCTGTTCTGCTTCAGTACTCATCTCTAATGAAGATAAGAAAGAATAGATTTTGTAATCTCTTATGCTGCTACAAGTTATGGTTTAATATTAATGTCCCTTTACGCCTTTATTTAATACTAACACTGGTATGAGAAAGACAATTATTTCCTCACATTTATTATGCAAGCTGTTTTCAACAGTCCAGCACTCAGTCATGCCACTAAGAGGCATTAAAAATCCTCAGAAAAAGCAGTTAAATAACAAAATACAACTGTTTTCTTGCTTCTTGATTTTCTAGGTTCAAAGCGCGGCTTAGGAGTTGGAACTGCATGCCACAAACAAGGCAAGCTTTGCTGCAAGCATATCCAGTAAGCATTTACTCTTTCCTTGTAAGGTTTTCACCTTTACCCCTTAAGGTTTCCAGAGGCAACAAAGAAGAGGATGAGAAGTATGCTTATTAGCCCAAGTATTTCTCCAGAATTAACTGAGACTTATTTTGGTTGCTAAGCCTGGGGAACAGAATCCGTGTTCACATGGAGGTCCCAGATACCCATTACTGACCAGTACTATCAGCTCTTGAACTCAGATACCAGACCTCCTCCAACCTTGACTTGAAGGGGAATCAGATGAACAACTTTGTAGATTTGACCTTATCTTTAAGAAACACAATAGTACAATATAAAGATCTTAACACATGACTGTAAAACATCATTAGCTAATTCTCATCTTACCATTGCTCTTTAACTACAAAGAAAGGAATATTTACACTTCTCAAAGCAGGGAAAAAACAAAACCTGTTAGCATGGCTATTTTTACAGCTCTCTACTAGTCAGGGAGCCTTAGACCTTTAGGCAAGCGATGCCGCTACTTACTAGATCTCTTGCAGAACACAGTTATTAAGTGATGTCTTAACCAATCTTTTTCCACACTGACAAAATCACAGTCTCAAGTCAGTTTACCTTTTTTTTTTAAAAAAATGTTATTACAACAACTAGACCCAGATGCAGCACAGCTCAGCAGAGGCAAAAAACAATTTTAGTGTCCTATTTAAATGTGCTGCTTTTAAGAGGTGTCAAGAAGCAATTTTAAAAGCAGCCCCAAAAGACTGTACTACAATACACAATTTATTGCTGCTAAAAACAGCAGCAAGAGTTTGCCTAGATTTAGTGTGTCCAGTTTAGCATCTTCACCTGACACACTAAGTTTACCAGATCCTGCAGAATCTAAAGTCAGTTAATGATTGCTAAAAACATTACTGGCCTCACATAGTTAGCTTTCCTATACTATCAGAAGCTTTGTTTGGTCCCACAAACTGTTTACACTTTGCTGCATTGGACAGGCAGCTTGATTGCGCCATACGCACTCATAGCCAAAATAGATGCAGGGAGCTCTTCAACTACTGTAAAATGAGAAGCCACTCAACAAGAAGAGAGACAGTGAGAACACTGGGTAAGCAACAATAGGCCTGTAACAGCGACAGATCTTGTAATATTCAAGACTGAAGCAGAAGCCTAAAACAGGACAGACCGCCAAAGCGCTAGCAATACACAGAAAAGTTTTCCCCTACCTTTTGCTCAAAGGGAGAGAGCGAATCCATTTTCAATGAACTTGACAGAGAGACTAAGCAAGCCCTTTCTAGCATGTTTCAGAAAAACAGACTGCATCAGTCACCTGCAATCTACCACAGACACAGGACGCAAACTCATTCTCCAGCAGTAGTTAGACAATACTCTTGTTTGTACCTGCTTTTGAGTTCTGCTAGGGGAAAAAAAAACAAGCCAACAAAAACACCCCAGTGCTAGTCCTTCAAGTAATCCTTCAAGCCCTGAAGCTACCTTCTCCTTCAAACAGGAGTCTATCCAGTTGTCTGAGGCAACACAGAACAGTTTGCTGTTACTGGGGCAGGTATAACTTTCCTCAGTGAATCAGTTCTGCCAGCGTCTAGAGAAAGACCAAAATCAAATATGTTAATGTACTATCAGTCTGTAATACTTTCTCTAAGCTGAGTGATACTGTTTCAGGGGGACACAGAATGCACAGGAACAGGAACACAGGACACAGGACTGGAAATCATATCGACAAAAGCTAAGAGGGATAGTTAGAGCTCATTTTGCTGGCTTACCCATCAGGGATGGGGAGGAAAGGAAAAAAAAAAGGAAAGCTCATCCTTCATTTTCACCCCCTCCCACACAATATTTCTTTAGCAATCTCAAACATCTCAGATGACAGATACATACTCCTATCATTACCCTGTATCGTTTGTCAACATCCCACATACACAGCAGATATGAATAAAAATGTACTTTCAACACATTGAGAACTTGCAGTTTGCATTTGATACTGATGAGAAGAAAAGACTGCTTGGGAAGGGAATCAAGAAGCTGATCCAAACGCACAACTCTTGTATGCAGCAAGGCCTGTTAGGTGCATGAGCAGAATCTTAAACAGCTTAAGATACATGGAAAACTGATTCACTGTGTAAAATAACTTGCATGATTTTTCTCCCCCCCAATAGTCATTAAGTTAAAATTACTGATTTGTTTGTACTCTTAAAGCAAACATTAGCAGTAGAGTGACATGCACAGTAATACAGCTAAGAAAGGTCTGTCTGCTTCACTGGTTTAGTCCCCAAAGACTGCTGTTTAGGCCAAGCCTCCAATTTCAAATACACTTTGTAAGCCTGAAGCATGCAATGATGCAGAAGAATGACTGTCTGGCTATTAGTCATAGTTAGAAGGATCATTCACATGAAAATGTTCCTACAGTTGGAGCTGGAAAGTGAATCTGTGTGCAGTTACTGATCAGACAAGTGATACAGAACCTGAAGTTTTAGCTAACAAGGTAAATGAAGTGCCTAAACGAAGCCAACAACAAAGGGGCTCTTAACAGAACATAGCATAATGTTGAAAATACTGTTTTAAGCAACAGAATTTGCTCTATAAGGGAGATGAGCAATCACAAAGAGAAGTTTGAGGGGCAACTTTAGAGTACAGAAATAAATCAATACACAGGCACTTAAATACTATGCACTTAACAAATGTAGTGCATACACCTGCATTGCCTTGCAGACAGGAATTTGATCACATTACCCACCACCAAATAAGCTCCAAAATCCCTATCCACTGTTTTGAGGTACCAAGGCAGACCATCAGTACTGAGGGAGAACCTTAATAGTTTACTTTGGATTTATTAGCCAGGAGATACTACTAGCAGGTTGTGTCATACTATATGACTTGTGCTGCCTATATGCAACATTACTAGCCACTTAAGAGAGCAGACAGCTGTTCAGTCAGTGGTGTTGCCATCATTAACTTACTCTGCTGTCCTGGTTTCGGCTGAGATAATTTTCTTTCTAGTAGCTGGTACAGTGCTGTGTTTTGGATTTAGGATGAGAACAATGTTGATAACACACTGATGTTTTTAGTTGCTGACAAGCAGTCAAGGACTATTCAGCTTCTCATACTGCCCTGCCAATGAGAAGGTAGGGGTGCCCAAGAAGCTGGGAGGGGACACAGCCAGGGCAGCTGACCCAGACCGGCCAAAGGGATATTTCATACCATATAATGTCATGCTCCATATATAACTGGGAGCTAGCTGGAAGGCAGGGCAGCTTGGGGAACTAGCTGAGCATGAGCTTCGGGTGGTGAGAAACTGTGCTATTCATGACTTGTTTGTATATTCTTTTATCATTATTATTCTTCTCTTCCTTTTCTGTCCTATTAAACTGTCTTTATCTCAACCCACAAGGTTTACTCCCTTCCCCCCCCCCCCCCCCTCT